AAGGTTTCGTATCCATTCGCGATGCTCGCGAGACCTTCTGATTGCTATACAGATAGTTTAGTATAGAATGAACCCCAGCAAATATTATCCAATCGAACGCCGGCCCTCCGATCACTTGGCCTCCTTTTTTCTCTTTTCTCTGGCTCTTTTCACAATGTCATAGAGATAAGCATACAAACAACAAGAAGTTAAGTAGATAGTTAACGTGGCATTGGCGCAAATGGCCCTGGATCGATCATGCGTAATAGACATTCCCTTTCATTCCGAATCTCTCATGTTCTCGAACATGATCCCCCTTATCTAATACCGTCCATATCCACCTCCTCCACCACCGCCAGAGTTCCGGGACGAATAGTGGTCCCGACCTGAATAACCTCCGCGGCTATACCCACCGCGCTGGTCGGATCCCCCGTAGTTGGATGAGCGTCCACGGTACGCGTTGTTGTGGTTGCTACCACCGTAGGATCCTTGCTGCTGATAGTATCCTTGTTGACTACGTCCATAGTAGTCGTAATTGCCCATTGGTTGGTTGTAGGAGTCACCACCACCACCGCCATAGTGCGATCGCTGGTGGTAACCACCTCCTCCGCGGGGCGGAGGCGGTGGCCCGCGGTTGTAACCACCGCCTCCAGCGTTCGGAGGAACCCATCCAGAAGGCATGCCCGTCGGTGCTCCACCACTGTTACCGGGCGGCATGAACTTGGGGTCCAGATGGGCAGCGAATGGGTTCGGCCGCTCACTGGCATAGTTGATCCGGCCTCCCCGGTGGCCATTGCGAAGCGGAGCTCCTCCATGGAATCGGCCCGAGTGTTGTGCCTTGTTCTTGACGGCCTGGATATCCGCATTGTCCAGGGTCGGGGGTGGCAGCTTGGCGCCCCGAAGGAGCATGGACTTGTGGACGTGCTTGGATTTGGGGATTTCGTAATTGACCCTAACCCATGGATCCGGAACATTAGCTAACTGTAAACAGCACAAAGAAGTAGGAAAGATAACAAGTAACTTACGTGAGAGATCGATCATCATCCAAGCTCGGCATCCCGTATTCTTCAAGAGACGATACCAAGGAGCTGTGCGGGATGTACGACTCATTGCGCTCGACCTTACCAGCCAAACCTTCACTGATTCGCTGATTAATGGAGTACTTGGGGGCTCCCTGCTTCTTGGAATAGAAGTTGGCCACCAGATCGTGGTACAGTGGGTGGCTCTCGGAGATCAACAACACATCCCGGCCCACGCAGTTCCGGAGCTTCTCATCATCAGAGAGAAGAGGGTATTTCTTTTCCATCGCAGCCAGCAGTCGCTTCTCATCGATGAAGGGAAGTAGTACGACACCCTGCCAAGCAAATTTCTTGCCGTTCAGGTCCACGGGGAAGTCTTCCGGGTAGAAATCGATGATCTCACTATCCGGATCGCTCATCAGATCATGGAAGACTTCAGGGATAGCGTGGTTGGAAGAAGCCGGAAGAACTCCCATCAGCTGTTCGAAGGGCTTGAATGGGGTTCCCTTCTCAAATTGCAACTCCATTTCGCCAATATCCACGAAATCAGCCGCAAATGGCGCATAGTGGTAAGGGTAGTACCACGTCCACGAGGGGCATCCTTGGAAATAGTATCTCAAAACCCAAGCAAGACCCTCGGCATACGCCCGTGCGACCTTGTGGCGGAACTCTTTGTCTTCGGGATCGACGCCAAACTTCTGCTCATAGTACCGATCAGCGTATCCTTCTTCCCACAGGCGGACAGTGTCGGGCGGCAGTTCATCGTTTTGAGAGTCGCCCGCGGATGGCTTCTTGGTCGGCGTCGTTGCGGCCTCCTCTGCCACCTCATCCGCCTTTCTCTTACCGAGAACCGAAGGCGAAGTTTGCTCTTCGGTCTTCTCCTCGGAAGGCTCTGGAGCTTCTGACCCAGATTCTTCGGTGTTCTCGGAGGGTTCTTCAGCCTCCGAACCTTTCATGAGCTTGCTCTTCAGGATGGCCGCAGCACTCTTGTTCGCCATGTTAGCCTTATACACCGCACCGCGGTTAGTAACCATGCTGTGAGTCAATTGCCTCGCCTCCCGGGTCAGTTCTCCCCGTTGAGGCGTGATCAGTTCCACGGCATTGGGAGGCGCCGCATCTGCGGCACCCTTAGACCGACCACCGGTAGGATTGCCGGCAGGTGTCTCGTAGGCTTCGTAGTTGGGAGAGCTTTTTCTCCGCTTCCTCGCACCTTCTTCACGCGCTTGTGCTTCCTGCTTGCGCCGCTTCTCGTTGGCAGCTCTCCTCTCCTCGGCCTGTCTACGACGACGGAAAATAGCATCCTCTTGCTTGGCCAGTCCTTGCAGAATAAGCTGGGCCCGCTTGAGGTCAACATGTCCATCCTCGGTCAGGTACCCGCCCATGACGGGGATATTATCACGCCAAATAGCTATCAGAGTGTCGATGCCATTTTCACGGATATCTAAGGAGGGTAAGTGAGGAAGGAAATCATTTCCTACGAAGAAACACATGAAGACCCAGTCATCCAGAGCACGTTCCAAGTCGAAAGGAAACGGTTGTTGCGGAACGTACAGTTCCGCAGCAAGGTATTCCCGAAGGATTGACACATTGAGCCAAATGAAGGGCTTGAGTGAGGTTCCTTTACCCTTCTCATCAAACTGTCCATTCTTCTCCTTTGCCTGACCTTTGCATTCCTCCGCCTTGTGGCCTGCCTGTCCACATAGCCGACATGTCCGAGCCCTTGACTCCTGGAAGAAGACATCCTCACGTAGGACCCGGAAATAGGGCTCATGAGTCGCAAGACCCAACATGATCAAATCGGCATCCAATCCATAGATGACATGGCGGGTGTTGGGGTCGTGCTCTGGCGACGCGCGCTGTGACCGGACGAACTCCATGATCTTGTGTTCACCTTCACCCGGAACCGTCGCATCCGAAATGATGATTTTAAGCTGCTTGAGTCAGTAAGATATACAACAAGAACTAGACCAGGAGACGAACCTTTTCCCAAGCGGGGTCGGTATTGAGCTTGTAAGCGATCCAGTAGCGCAAAGCTGCCGCGAGAATATCCATGAAAGGCGTTCCCGGGGTAATGACATTGCTATCCCACGTCTTCTGGATGACCTGTTCCTGCATATCCTCGTCTTCCTTCTTGCCGTTTTGCCTCTCAAGCATTTTGCGGAATTCTTCCTTCTTCTCATCTGCCTCTCTGGCCTCCTGAGCAGAGCGGAACCGACGGGCTCGTTGTTGGTTCATCTTTGCGCGTGGCGCGACACCATCTAGTTTAGGTGAAAAGCATGGGTTAGTACAACACTTTAATCAAAGTAGGCGACGCGATAAACGTTACAACATACCGACAGCAATCATCAGAAGCTTCCTCGGGCGGACCATGTTCACCACACGGTCGGTGTACTTGAAGATCTCCAGCATCATCTCCTGCTCGTTCGACGGTGGCGGCTTTCCTTCCGGATGAGTACATGGGTGAACGATACCGTTCATATCCAGGTACAAATTATCCATCTCATCTCCATTGGGATTGGGACGCGTGGTGTCCACGGGAACCTCTTCGCCGTTGATTTCTTGCGGAAACTCCTCGATAACGGGGGAGATGATCTTAGGATACTTGTTGGAAAGCCATCTGAAAAGCGCTGGGACACCCATGACTGCTAGTAGAATTTGACAAAGAGTGTATGAAGATGTTTGTACAGATTATACGGAGTAGATCTATCGATTTAAGCCAGGTTCGCTGATGCGCTGCATCGGCTATCTCAACGTCTCCGAGTCTGCAGGAATGACCCGTGAATGATTACTTCCGTAGAAGGGTATAGGGTGTAGGGGAAAGGAAAACTCGCGATCCCACACTGTGGGAATGACTAGGAGTAAAAGACTGACCCTCTCGAAAGGTGAGGGGGAATGATGAAGGCGTGGAAGTCTCTGCGATCGCAATGGCCGGTCGACTTGCCAGACCATGAAATCCGAGATCTCGGCGCTTCTTTTGTCGCGGTTCCGGCAGAACTTCCCCTTCTAGACACTAGACTCAAAGCAGCAAAGTACGTAGTCAGCGGGCCCCCGACACCCTGACCAATGACCAGTCGGGACACAGCAGTACAGCATTGTTGGCTCTAATTCTTTTGAGTTAGGTATCGTTGCGGCTTATTTGGCTACTACTAACTCCATACTGCGGACTACTGGCACTATCCCGTGTGCTCTCATCATAATCACCACCACCCATTGCTGCCGCTGCAGCTTCGGAGAGAACAACTCAGCTGGCTGATCCACTCGCTTCTCTCCTCTCTCCCCACACCTCCGTGAATTCAATGCCTATAACTTGCTACGCCCCCGGCCGGCGGTGACCATGAAATTACGAGCTACCAGTTGCGATGTTCCGAATCCTCGAGTCGCAGGCGCCGGCCAAACAAACGGCCACCGACACAATTAATACTCTGACTGGTCGGCTTCAGAGTGCAACTTTACTAGAAGATCGACGGGCAGCTATACAAGGATTGAGAAGCTTTGCAAAGTCCTTTCCTGCCTCCGTTGCTTCGGGCGCACTACGCCCGTTGATCAACAGCCTCAAAGATGATCGTGAAGATGTGGATACGTTGAAGGTCGTCTTGGAGACCTTGTTGATGTTGTTTACCCCGGACGAGAATAGTGTTGGTGGCCTCTTCAGCCGAGTTTGTCGCATCCCCTGCTGATATGCGCTGTCTAGCCCGAAGCTTCAGACGAGATCGCCCTTTGGCTGTCCGATGAATTTACGCAGGTTTGTACATGTTACTGGCCGAGACGTGCACTTGCTGACCAGGTTAAAAGCGTCAAGACAATATTACCGCGCTCCTTGACCTCCTGGATACTCGTGACTTTTACTCTCGCTTGTATGCCCTGCAGTTGATGTTCCAGATCTCGAGCGCACGGCCAGAAAGAACACAAGAATGTATCCTGACGGCGCCGTTGGGTATACCGAGGCTGGTCAGTGCTCTGGGAGATGCTAGAGAGCCGGTGCGCAATGGTATGTTGGACTCACCCCCTTCGCCCCCCTCAGCGCGGAAGCGCGGTATGCAACTGTTGCTAATTACGACTGTGCATCGAATAGAAGCTTTGATCCTCCTGATCGCTCTCACACCGGCCTCCGAAGAGTTCCAAAAGCTCGTCGCATTCGAAAACGCGTTTGACCTTATCTTCTCCTTGATAGAAGCTGAAGGTGCTTTGACTCACGGATCGGAAGTGGTTGAAGACTGCCTTTCCTTACTCGCGAACCTTCTGAGGCTCAACATCTCCAACCAGTCATATTTTCGGGAGACGGGCTGTGTCAAGAGGCTAGCAAAGCTCCTCGCGGATGTCAATCAGGATCAGGACTCGGAAGAGCCCACCCCACAATGGGCTCTCGCGCATCGGGATAAGAACCTCTGGGGACTTTTGGTTATCGTCCAGCTGTTTTTAATCAAAGGAGGGGTCAACACTCCTGCCAACCAGACGGCGTTCTGGAACAATGGTGTCATGGAACAAGTCCTGAACACTGCTTTCGGTCAAAGATTCAATGTCAATGTGACGTCCAAGGTATGAGACACTGGTCACCTATAAAGTTGACGCTAATTGTGCTAGGCTCTTGCGACATGCGCCGACTTAATACGTAGCAATAAGCCCTTGCAGGAGCGTTTTGGAGACGTTGAGGTCATTTGGGGCTCGAGTCCTACTCCGAATGCCGTCAATGGGGATTTGACACATCAAGAACTCCAGCGGATCAATGTTATCGAAGCGTTGCTGAAATTGACTCTCGAGCCTGCTCCATTGTCGCTTCTTGACGCACGACTAGCCGCTTGCGAATGTATCAAGGCATTCTTCGCAAATCACACCGGGATCCGTGTCCATGTGCTAGGAAGAGCGATCCAAGGCCATATTAGCGGAGAAGACCAGATTCCCAATATCTTGACTGTCCTGCTGCTGCCGCCAGAAGCTCGAGGAAATGCCGACCCCTACCAAACCTGGATGGCTTCTGTCTTGATGTACCAACTGCTGTTTGAGAACGCTGAAGCCAAATCAATCGCCATGGGTGTGACTGAGGGGGATGCTGAACAGGGTGAAGAAGTCGTTACCTGCATCCAGACGATAGTAGGCAACCTAATCACCGGTATTCAAAGAGGCGATGATGAAAGAATCACCCTTGGATATTTGATGCTGCTCTGTGGTTGGCTCTTCGAAGAACCGGATGCTGTGAATGACTTGTTGGGCGAGGGAAGCAGCATACAGACCTTGCTGCAAGAAATCAAGCACCGCGGAGCCACTTACGTACTTGTTCCGGGTCTTTGCACCATTCTACTTGGAATTATATACGAATTTTCGTCAAAGGACTCGCCTATACCGCGGAAGACCCTGCATAAGTTGTTGATCGAGCAGCTAGGACGAGAACAATACATTGACCGGATCACCCGGTTCAGAGAGGATCCTCTGGTGCGTGACTTTGAGGTCCTACCACAGACCGTGGGGGCACAATACGACGGTGGCCTTCCGGAAATCTACTTCGACAGGACCTTTGTTGAATTTCTCAAAGACAATTTCAGCCGCTTGCTACGTGCGATTGACCGGGAACCCGAGATCGAGATCTCAGTGATCACTAATGGTGTTGAAAGAGGAGTTTCTCGCGAACTTGTGGACTCGCTTCGGGCAGAACTAGAAGAAAAGGGCGCTTTGTCACAGAAGCTGGAGTCGGATCTGCTTGCTCTGCAATCCAAGCTCGATCACGAGCAGGCTGAACACCGAAAGACAAGAGACGCGACCATATTAGAGTCTTCTAAACTGCAGCAGATCTGTGAATCATTGAAGCGGAGTCACGAACAAGAACTGAATGTCTTGAAGGAGCAGCAGAAGCACGCTCAAAATGTGCTCTTGAAACAGCATGGCGAACAGTTACGAGCCATTGATCGACAGCTGAAGGAAACATCTGCAGACCATGAGAGGAGAAGTCTCCAAGTAAAGAAGCATCATGAAGCCGAGGTGGCTGACCTGCAGAAAAAGATTCGTTCGCTCGAGTCTGATCTCAACCGCGGCAAGGAGCAATCCTCTGCTGAGATTGCTGACCTGAAGACTACTATCCAGATCTTGAAGACGGAGGCGGAAAAGATAAAGGGACAGCATGTGGCTGAAGTTCTGGAACTTAACACCACAATTCAAAATCTTCAGTCAGCACTCGACACCGTTAAGGGACACCATGAGGCCAAGCTCTCTGAGTTGAACACCACAATCCAGAACTTGCAGTCAGAGCTTGAGACAGGCAGAGGACAGCATACTACCGAAGTTTCTGGTCTGAACAAGACAATCGAGGAGCTCAAGTCGCAGATGAATGCCAGTCAAGAGAAACATGAGTCTGAGGTCTCCGACCTCAACAAGACGATCCAGAAATTACAGTCGGAGCTCGATGCCAGCAACGGAAAGAGTGCGGCAGAGGTTTCTGACCTGAAGAAGACAATCGAGACGCTGCAGTCGGAGCTTGACGCCAGCAGTGGCCAGAGCGCGGCAGAGGTTTCTGATCTGAAGAAGACGATTGAGACGCTGCAGTTGGAGATTGATTCCAGCAACGGACAGAATGCTGCTGAGGTGTCCGATTTGAAGAAGACGATCGAGAGCCTCCAAGCCGAGCTGGAGGCTGGCACAGGAAAGCAGGCAGCTGAAGTAACCACCTTCCAAGAAACCATCAAGACGCTTAAGTCTGAAATGGACGCCGCCAAGAAGCAGCATGAGATCGAGGTTGCGGAGCTCAAGTCCGCGTCCACGGCTTTACAATCAGAACTGGACACTGCGAAGGAGAAAGCTACGACAGAACTACAGTCTACACGCGATGAACTGTCCTCTAAGTGCACTGCCTCGGAGAAGCGAGCCGAGAAGGCCGAGAGTGAGGTAAAAAAGGCTGAGGAGGCAGCACGTAATGCTACCCAAGCGCTTGAAGAGGCCCGGAAACAGCTCGAGAAGGCTAAGGCGGAGGCCAAGGAGAAGGAGGAAGCTCGCAAGGCGGCACAGTCTGAGCTTGAGGATTTGCTGATCGTGTTCGGAGATCTGGAGGCGAAGAGAAATGAGGACAAGGTAAGTCCACTGGCCCTCACCCAATGACTATGCAGATGACTCATACTGTTCCATAGCAACGGTTGAAGGATCTCGGTCAAGAAGTGTCCGAAGCTGAAGATGATGAGGAGGAGGAAGAGGACGAGGATGAGGAAGAGGAGGAAGCCTAATGGAAATGCCATTTTTGGTGGTCCTTGCATGAGGCGCAGGGCGTAGCAGCCATGAGTTGCGACAGCCCTGGATTGCATTCCAATAACGAAGAAAGCATGAGTGAGTCAGAGCCATGGGAGGTTAGTTCCAATTTGTACATCAAAGATGGGAATCAGCCTTGTGACTAGTGTAGTAGCCATTGTACAGTGTACCTGAGCCAAACTATTCCATATTTAGAGATGTTTATGAATCCGCATTGAAAGAGGGACAGTCACATCGGCTGATGTCGGCGGTAGGCGAAGCGGGCGCTGATTGGCCAGCGGAGACAAAAAAAAATGGTGCGCGGGGTGAGTCAAAACGATTCTGCCGCTTGTGCGCAACCTTCAATCGGGCTTTAAATCTACCCCGCGGATCCCTCGCTGGAAGATCGCAAGTCGACAGATTTCCTCCCTGTCACCTCCTCTCCCCTTCCCCGCTCGCCCGTCATGTCCATTGATTTTCCCCGCGAGGAGGAGGCCATCCTCCAGAGGTGGAGGGAGATCAACGCCTTCCGGAGGCAGGTTGAGCTCTCCGAAGGTCGTAAACCATACACCTTCTACGATGGCCCTCCCTTCGCTACCGGTCTGCCTCACTATGGTCACTTGTTGGCCTCGACCATCAAGGATATCATTCCCCGTTATTGGTCGATGAAGGGTCACTATGTCGAGCGTCGCTTTGGCTGGGATACCCATGGTGTGCCCATCGAGTACGAGATCGACAAGAAGCTGGGCATGTCGGGTCTCGAGGCCGTCGAGAAAATTGGTATTGAGAAGTACAACGAGGAGTGCAGAGCCATTGTCATGAGATTTGCGTCGGAATGGCGTCAAACCATCGAGCGACTGGGTCGTTGGATCGACTTTGACAACGACTACAAGGTAGACAGGCCCATCATCTTATACCCCGCGGTCTCTACATATGCTGACCATGCATTATAGACCATGAACGTGAGCTTCATGGAATCAGTGTGGTGGGTCTTCAAGCAACTGTTCGACAAGGACCTTGTCTACAGAGGCTACCGTGTCATGCCTTACTCGACCGCCCTCAACACCCCCCTCAGTAACTTCGAGGCTCAACAAAACTACAAGGATGTGCAAGACCCTGCCGTCGTCGTCACATTCCCCCTCGTCCACGAGCCCGAGACTTCCCTTCTTGCATGGACGACCACCCCATGGACCCTGCCCTCGAACATTGCCCTCGCAGTCAACCCCACCTTCGAATACATCAAGATCCTCGACGAGGCATCTGGAAAGCACTACATCCTGCTCGAGTCTCTGCTCCGGACGCTGTACAAGGACCCCAAGAAGGCCAAGTTCAAGATCGTCGACCGCTTTAAGGGTGCTACCATGAAGGACTGGAAGTACCAGCCCCTCTTCGATTACTTCTACGAAGAGTTCAAGGAGCACGGTTTCCGGGTCCTTAACGCCGAGTACGTTACTGCTGAGGACGGTACCGGTATCGTCCACCAGGCTCCCGCCTTTGGTGAGGACGATTACAGAGTTGGCATGGAGAACGGCGTCATCAGTGAGAGCCGTCTTCCCCCTAACCCTGTTGATGAAAAGGGTTGCTACACAGCCGAAGTGAAGGACTTCGAGGGCCAACACGTCAAGGCTGCCGACAGGGGCATCATCAAGCACCTGAAGGCTGCTGGACGCCTGGTTGTCGACAGCCAGATTACTCACAGCTACCCCTTCTGCTGGCGTTCCGACACTCCCTTGATCTACCGGGCCGTGCCGGCTTGGTTCGTCAAGATCGGCCCTATCATTCCTCAAATGCTCCAGGGCATTGACGACTCCCACTGGGTGCCGAGCTTCGTCAAGGAGAGACGCTTCTCCAGCTGGATCCAGAATGCTCGCGACTGGAACATCTCGAGAAACCGTTTCTGGGGTACTCCCCTGCCCTTGTGGGTGAGCGATGACTTCAAGGAGGTTGTCGCCGTTGGTAGTGCCGAAGAACTCAAGCAGCTTAGTGGTTACGAGGGCGAACTCACCGACCTGCACCGCGACAAGGTCGACAAGATCACCATCCCCAGCAAGCAGGGCAAGGGTGTCCTTCGCCGTGTTAGCGAGGTGTTTGATTGCTGGTTTGAGTCTGGCAGCATGCCTTATGCATCCCAGCACTACCCCTTTGAGAACAAGGAACAGTTCGAGAACAGCTTCCCCGGTGACTTCATCGCAGAGGGTCTTGACCAGACTCGTGGTTGGTTCTACACCCTGACTGTGCTTGGTACCCACCTCTTTGGCAAGCTTCCTTTCAAGAACTGTGTCGTCAACGGAATTGTTCTCGCAGAGGATGGAAAGAAGATGTCCAAGAGACTTAAGAACTACCCTGATCCCGCCCTCGTCATGGAGCGTTACGGTTCTGATGCTCTTCGCCTCTACTTGATCAACTCTCCAGTTGTGCGCGCTGAGCCCCTTCGGTTCAAGGAGTCGGGCGTCAAGGAGATTGTCGCCAAGGTTCTTCTTCCCCTCTGGAACAGCTACAAGTTCTTCGAGGGTCAAGCTGCTCTGTTCAAGAAGACCCAGGGCTTCGATTACACCTTTGATCCTAAGGCGGAGGCTACTAACACCAACGTCATGGACCGCTGGATCCTGGCCAGTTGCCAGAGTCTTCTCAAGTTCGTCAACGAGGAGATGGCCGGATACCGTCTGTACACTGTCGTTCCTCGCCTGCTTGAGTTGATCGACAACACCACCAACTGGTACATTCGTTTCAACCGCAGACGTCTCAAGGGTGAGAACGGTGTCGATGATACCCAGCATGCCCTGAACACCCTCTTCGAGGTCCTGTACACCCTGGTCCGGGGCCTGGCTCCCTTCACTCCTTTCCTTACCGACACCATCTACCTGAAGCTTCTCCCTCACATCCCCGAGGCGCTCCGTAGCGAGGACAGCCGCAGTGTCCACTTCCTTCCCTTCCCCGAGGTTCGGGAAGAGCTTTTCGATGAGGTTGTCGAGAGGCGCGTGGCCCGGATGCAGAAGGTCATTGATATGGCTCGTATCTCCCGTGAACGTCGGAACATTGGTCTGAAGACGCCGCTGAAGACTCTCGTTGTCATCCACCAGGACCAGCAGTACCTGGACGATGTGAAGTCCCTGCAGGGATACATCCTCGAGGAGTTGAACGTTCTTGAGCTTGTCCTGTCCTCGGACGAGGAGAAGTACAACGTCCAGTACAGTGTGACCGCCGACTGGCCTACGTTGGGCAAGAAGCTGAAGAAGGAGGTCCAGAAGGTCAAGAAGGCCTTGCCCTCTTTGACCAGCGAGGACGTGAAGAAGTTCGTCGCCGACAAGAAGATGCTTGTTGACGGCATTGAGCTTGTTGAAGGTGATCTGGTCGTGAAGCGTGGAATGAAGGAGGACAGCGCGTCCGCCAACATGGAACCCAACACGGATAGCGACTTGCTGACCATCCTGGACGCTAACCTGTACCCTGAGTTGGCCGAGCAAGGGTTGGGCCGTGAGATCATCAACCGTCTGCAGCGTCTTCGTAAGAAGGCGGGTCTTGTCCCCACTGATGATGTGAAGATGGAGTATGCCGTCCTGTCGGATCCCGAGGATGTGGGCATCAACAAGGCGTTTGAGACGCAAGCCAAGGCCATCGAAAAGGTTGTGCGCAGACCGCTCGACCGCTACGAGCTTGTGGACGGCAAGGTGCCCAGCGGAGAGGAGCCGGGAATGATCATCCAAGAAGAGCAAGAAGTACAAAAGGCCACTTTCCTGTTGCGTCTGCTCAAGTTGTAGAGGTTTGATCGATTCACACAGATAAGATGTTGATAGCTTAGACCATACAATTCCCGCTAGTTACGATGTTTTGACATTTCTTCTTTGTTTAGTTGATGGATGAATAAAATTACACACGTTCATGATGATAAGTTTTTACATATACCTGTAGAGACCTTTCCTATACAGACACCGCCATACATGCTAGTAGAAGCCAAACAGCCCAATGCGCCTAAACCTTGTAGTTCTCCTGCAACCCATCAACCACCATTAGACTTTCTTCGAGGCCGCCTGTCAAGCGTGAATTAGCCATGTTACAGATGAAGTCATCCCGGAGATGCGGATTTTCTTCCTACCAGAAAGCAGTCCTTGAGCTTCATGAACTCCTTGGCGCACATGTCCTTTTGCACGGCATTGTAGTCCGCAACGACGCATTTGCCATACGCAGCGGCCTGAAAGCCCGTCTGTCAGCTGGATCGAGCAGATTCACTGATTCATATCATATCATACCTCGACCGAGCACTTCGAGGCAGCCTTTGCAAACTTCTCAATGGGTCTTGTCTTTGTTGACGGCATCTTGCTCACTGTCTTTGCCACACCGAGAGATAAAGACTATGTACTATCTACAGGTGATTGATTGTTCTTCTATCCAAAGCGTGACTGTTGGACCAGCTCCCGTTACATAATCCATCACATGACCCAGCACATTCCCATCGCCGGCGCGACACGAAAAGCAAAAGCAAAGCAAAAACAACTTGGCTTTTTGACTGATAAAAAGTCAATGCCTTGTCGCCCGGCCGTGCCATTGGGTCCCACCGGTCCATTTGGGGATCTCTCTTGCGGTCTAACTTGACTTTAGCTTGACTTTGCGGCCTGGAGCACTGTGGGCCTCTGACAACCCACCTAGCAACACCACCCCCGACCGTGTGTGTGTGTTCGTGCCTGTTCCGCGATGCTTAATGATTCCCTGTTCCGTCTCCATGAGCCATATGCGAAAAACGCGCCTTAGTTCGCGGACAGTTCGATGCCTCCCGTTCCCCTTCAGCGAAGACCTTTGTCCCATGAAGACCCGGCGCTCACCGATGAAGGTATGCTCTGTCGCATTTACTAGCCCCCTCCACACTCCATAGTCCTTGTTTACTTTTGCGGAGTGCTGATTGCTTATTGTTCAACATAGATGTCGGCCTCCTCTACCAAGTCATTACCCGTGCGGAGAGGGATCCAGAAGTCGAGCGACTCCCGTACCGTGTGCTATTCAAGGCCTACGACGAGGTTATTGCCGAACATGGCGTCGACGCGGATCCAGGCTATGCCTGTATGCGCTTCTTGCTCAAAATGGGAAGCAAACATGTCGTAGGAGAGTCGCTCTTCGACAAATTCGAAAACCTACTCGAACGGATGGGCATTGTTATTGAATTCGGCGGCGAGGATGATACCTACGATGAGACGTACCCGGACAGTGTACCCTCCATCGAAAGCAGGCCTAGGCGAAGGATACGCGACACCCGGGAGGACTCAACGCAGCCACAGCCACAGAAACAACTACAGACACCGCTGCGAAGGCGGGCGTCCTTCAATTCCATGTACGATGTTGGCGACGATCCCACTCAAAGAAGCTTTATCAACCGCCCAAGCTCACGGTCGTCCATGTCGCGAATACAAGTCGGGAAGCCTGAGTATCCGTTCACGAAGCCATCGCCGTCCCCGAAGCATGCGCGGGTCTCTCCAGAAGCGGAGTCCCCCGACAGAACTCAGTTGATGGCACAGTTTATCGACGTGGGTCGCCGGCTCATGAGTCGGATGGACTTTCTGGCTGCGCAATCCTCGTCTGCTCAGCCGCCGCCGGCTGACGAGAAGCCTCTTCCCAATGGACTATATGCCCGGTCTGCCGTCGACCGCGATCGCTCGGAGAGAATAGCGGAAGCCTCACGAGCCCGGCGCTCGAAAACTTCCTCCAATGGCTCCGATGAAGAGGAAGAGCAATCATCTTCAGTGTCCTCCAGGGTCGATAGCATCAGTCCCCTTGAACGGCCAGAGATGCCACCGGAAATGCTATATAGGCCATCGCTTTCGGATCTGCTGCGAGATGCATCGACTTTCAATATGTACCGCCAACGGGCCATCAACCGTCGACTTCTCACGCAGTGGGTTAAGAGGGCGATACAGGCCAGACAGAGCCACCATAATATGGAGATGGTCGCCGTAAATCGAGACCGAAATACCTTGCTTCGACAGGCTTTTCAAACGTGGCATACCATCATCCGCGACAGACGGCAGGAAGAGCGAACGGAGAGATTCTTCAAGCATCTGGAAGAGCGCGCGGGACGGGCTCGGGATCTCTTTCTCCTCACCAAGGCGTTCTCTCACTGGGCGCAACTGACTGCAGAGGAACTTGCTCGGACATCTGCAGCTCGGCGACATATCCTTAGCGTCAAGTACTTCCATGCATGGCGTGAGATCACCGCAGTCAATGAGATGAAAGCCCAGCGCTTCGCTCTGCGAAAACCTTTTGCTGCCTGGCTAAAAAGGACCAGAGAGCTCAAACAGGCGGAAGAGAAGGCGGTTGTCATCAGTAGGGAGAAGTCGAAACATACATTCTATTGGCAGTGGTTCTGGAGCTTCTGCGAACAGCGTGCTCCTCAGTGGTACGACTATTGCCTCAAGAGACGCTCTCTGTTGTACTGGTTGCGCAAGTTTCGAACCAACAGGGAGTGCATTCATGAAATTGATGCTCGGAACAAGCATTATGCTGTGGGATCCGTGATGCAACTTTGGCATGAAAGGACTCAAGGTGTCATTGCGAGGGAGCAACAAGTAGCATTGACGGAGCGCCGCAAGGTTCTAGAGGAGAAACTGATAGAATGGAGGGCCCAAGCTCATTTAGCCCCAGTTGCTAACCATGTTACAAAAATGGTGGACACACATATCCTTCAAGCGGCGTACTCGCAGTGGGTGCATCGCGCTCAAATGCTGAAGCAGGCACGGGAGATGGATCGGCAACGGATTATACGCAATGCGTGGACAACGTGGAATGACCAGCTTCGCTGTCAGGCACTCTATGCCCGAATTGAGGAACGTATCAAGCTCGAAGCGATGTACAAATGGATTTTGGCAGAGAGATACCGTCTCATGCAGCGCATTAGGGAGCAGCGCATCAAGCGAGAAGTCTTCTCGGTCTTCGTGACTAACGTTCGGAGGACTTATGCCGAATTGCTTGACCGTGCGGAGGTATTTGAGGAGCAACGAAACGAAGACTTGCTCCGATCCAAGCTGGAACGCTGGCGGGATCAGCTATCGTTGCAACGCGAGAGGGAGATGGTTGCCTCTGAGTTCTACGCTCCACGCTTAGCGCAGGAATCGCTTGTGGCCTGGCGTTCGAAGTATCAACATGTGGTCAAGATAGAGGGATGGGCTAATACCGCCAGATACTACTTCCTGGCTACCAAGTTCACCAAGAAATGGCGCGTCGCGACAGTTGAATCTGCCAAGAAGCGTCGCCAACAAGCGTATATCCAGACCCGGAGGAAGATCAAGATCAATCTGGCATCGAAGGCTCTATCTCATTGGCACTCCAGGTCCTTACATATGGCAGGTCTGGAGCAGCAAGCCCTGCAATTCTCACGGCAACGCTGCTTGGCAATGGCGTCCGAGCTTGTACCTCGATGGCAAGAGAAAACCTTCAATCGCCTCCAGGACTGCGATGCGGCCGATGATCACTATGCGCGCCAAATTGTTGGCGAACAATTGACACGCTGGGTCGAGGCCTTGCTTGTGTATCAGCGCCAGGAGCAACAAGCAAATAACATGAATCGGGAGCATGTCCTCGGCCAGGCCAATATCCAATTGCGGAAGCTCAGCTTCCGTGTCTTCCAGGTCAAGAGCTTCTCCGAGACCGCCGAGGCGATGAAGGAACGAAACCTAAGGAAGCACTGTCGAAGCATGTTCCGTAGCTGGCTGGAGAAAGCACGCGTGAAGTCCGAGTCGCGGGATTTACCAGGGCCTCTGATAAGTCCGACGCGAAACTATGATGGAGCGACCTTCGAAGCCGAGCCGAACCGACGCATTTTCGATCCTTGGTATCAAACCACGACTCCCTTTAAGACCAACGACCTAGCTGTAGCCGCGAACAGCCAAATCCAAATGGCCTCGACCACGCCGCTGGCGACACCCAACTTCCTCACATCGCCGTCCAAAAGAGCCGCCAGAGCACGGGCCATGGCGCATGTTTCTACTACTCCGGCTACGCCCTCTTACACTCCATTTGCCAGTCGACTTTTGCGCGTCGGTACTGTACTCCCTCGAACCGACTCGACTAGACGCCGTACTGGACGAGCGAGCGCACTGGGCACTAGCGTCCGGTTCGTGGATGAAGAACCGGGGTCTCCTTCCGATGGCAGAAGATCATCCGGTCGACGGACGTGAAACCCTTCCGGGTTATACTTGTATAGGACTTTATGTACATTTTCTTCTGGTTCCCTTTGTCTATTTTGGGGGTTTTGGACGGTGCAGCTTTTTGGGGCGAAGGTTATGATAGATACCCTTTTTGCATGGCAGGTATTGTGCGGATTAGCTATTGTCGGCTTGGATAATTGAACAATATACACCTCATGTGGGTGAAGACACCTGAAATCATAGCTCAAGTAACACATCAATCGGATAATGATCTTCAAACTCATCTTCACCCCTATCACACCGACCCAGCTTACCTATCACCAGCTCATCCATCTCCCGCCGCTGCTCCTCACTCAACAGCCGTACACGATCCTGCAAAGACCCCAAATCTCCATAAAACCGCCGATCAACAAACTCCCAATAAATCTCATCAAACATAGAACTATACCTCGCGGCAAGACACACCCAAAATAGCCCATTGTCCAAGGACTCGCCCATCCTCGAAGCCAAACGTTGTGACTCCAAAAGAAGCCCCTGCCCCATTAACTCGTCTTCACACTCGCGCAATACTTCCAAGAACACATTGAACCGGGGAATATACCGATCCAGGAATTGATGCAGATCTCCCTCCCAGTCCTCCGGACTCTGGAGTAAAAGCCACCAGGGCGCTACGTATGTGAACTCTGCTGGGGCAGTGTAGGTGAATTCCCAGTCAATCACGGCTGAGACGCGAGAGGTATTGAGATCTATGAGTACATTTGAGGGACGGAAGTCGTCGCAGTAGAGACGGAAGGGGCCTTGGGGGTTAGTGAGGTGGAGGTTCTTCGTTAGATTTAGGAATAGATAGCGAGCGATTAGTTTTCGCTGGAAGTCTTCTTCGCTGGTGATGGAGGGTTTTTGTTGTTGTAGACGAAGGTGGAGGAGATGCTGTGTGGCTAGGGAGTAGAGGTAATCTGTGGATGAAGTGAAGGTGTGAGAGGGAGGTGGGAATGCTTCTAGTGGTATATTCGCAGAGGCCATTAGTTCGTTCATGTTGAAGGTGAGAGGTCGTTTGGTGATGGTGAAGAGATCACCATGCTGTGTCTCTTCGAGTGCGCCGATGGAGTCGAATTGTACTCTGGAGAGCTCGAGGACTAGGATGGCCATTTCGCGGTATGCGTGCTTCAAGCTGTGATTGCTTATTTGGGGGTTTAGGACTGGTCGTCCTGCAAAAGAATGGTCCTTGAGGAGCTGCGATAGTGGTACACCCTCGATGGCTGACATGATTATGTAGGGACCTGCCCAGCAGATCCCCGAGGCGTATACTTCGGGGATAGGGATCGAGGTGGTCTTGCGAAGGTAATTCATTGTTGCGACTTCATTTTGAACCTTTTCTCGGCGGAGAATAGCTCTTCCTAGAGCGGCGAAACGGATGATGATATCTGGTTCTTCATTGTTGTTGTTGTTGTTGTTGTATCTTACTCGATAGCAGATGTTGAATGCTCCGCTTTTCCAGAGGCATGCGGAGACGGGTTTGCCGCTGGCTGGTCGGTGTTTGTGGGCAAGGTGCATTGATAGGAGCTCTGGCTGTCGGCTGGACCAGAGACGGAGCCAGGCTGTGGCTTTTTGTTCTTGTTTTCTTTCTGCGATGGGATCGAAGTCCATGTTTGGTTGGGGTTGGGGTTAGGGTTGTAGGGGGGATGAGATGTGAAGCAAGTTGCAGAGTAGCAGATAGACCGCTTTTTCATATGTGAATGGCGGCTACAAGCAATTTTAGAAGCAAAAAATGCGAAGGTATAGATCTGGGAGTATGACTGGAATTATATCCAGCAAGAGGCGGATCTCCACGTCCGTGTACGGAAAATAAAGTACTATAGTGAAGTAGTAGTATATTCAGTCCCTTAGGTGATAATATATCCTCACCCCGCTCTACTATCATCAGAGCACAGCCCTGCAACTGATAAGTGGGAGTCCTTTGCAGCTGTAGCTTTGTCAACAACTAATCACAGTCACATTTGAATACTAGTCGGTCACAAAGATCCCTGCTTACTTTGCAGCAGTCTGGATCCCCGCAAGCCTAATTAGCGAGGTTAATCTAAATAGGTATGATCCCCGGGGATAACATGTCCCTGAAAAAGCTGATTGGACTAGATGGGGGTATGGCTAAAGAGCTACAATGTGGCAAAGCACCATATGATTATCTGCCTTCATAAAGCCAGAAGTCACTCCAAGTAAAAGAGGACCGAGGCTATCCGAACCAGCAGTTGGGGTTGATGACGATGAATGAATGAGTCTGGGCGGTGTGGATCACGGGGCCGACGATCGGGGATGCTTCTTCTTGCATCTTCGAGGTGAGCTGTCCCCTCCATCCGCATACAGCTCTATACTTGCATCTTTCTTGCAAACCCCGTCACATTGCGCAGTTTTCAACTAAGTTTTTGCTCCTATAACTGCGCCCTGGCAATGGTGTAGCGCCATTGTGAGCGCATCCCCGCGCATCCAACGCATTCTACCTCTCCACAACCACCCGTCTCCATGCGAGCGGTACTGCCGGGGAGGCCCCCAACGAAGCTCCAGGCTTACAGCACCGCGCTGTGGGATGGTCTTCGTGTTGTGGTAAGCTCTCTGCATGAACCTCTTCAGCTTTCCCGGTGTTCTATAAGTGGTCATGTGGCTGATTTGGCGCTTTCTGCGCACTCTCTCCACAGGCGTACATATCCGGCCATGCACTAGTGATCCTCGGCGGTCCGCACAAGCTCCTACAAACCATCTATGTCGACGATACCGACGCCCTGGAGGCTGTCACCATAGATGAGCTCTCCGGAAAGATCGCCGTATGCGGTGGACCCGATGTGTTCATCTACCAACCGTATGGCATCCAGCATGAAACCTTAAAGGTCCGTGGTCAATGAGATGGAAAAGATACAAAGCTATACGAGAAGTGCATGCTGATGGATCTATGGGGTAGTGGTCTCTAGTCCAAACCTTTCGCAGCGAAGACGACAATGAGACTATTCGTACCCTGTCCTGGGGCTCCTCCGAGGAGCTGCTTCTCGGCAACTCTCACCTCACTCTCTGGTTCTTGAACGATACCCCGCGCCAAGTTTGGAAGCAGAAGCTAGCTTCTCCCGTCAAATTCGCGCGCTTCTCCCCCGATGCAACTCTCCTTGTCACCACTGGGCATTACGACCGCATGGCCAAAGTATGGCGCCGACTCGCATTCGGGACGGACATTCGGTTCGAAGTATCATATCTTCCCCACCCTACAGTCATTACCGGGATACATTGGCGAAGACCGTACCATCGAGAGCAGTCTATGGACAATGTATTCTATACCGTATGCGCCGACAATAAGATTCGGGTATGGGCGACCGTGGATCATCATGCGCCGACCGCCTTGCAACTATGGGCGCAAATTGATATGGCCGCTTCTGTTCAGCCAAGGCATGCGACCGACAAGAGCGATCCGACCCGTCGATATGGCTTCATCGTGGACAGTCGGGACTTTTGCATGGCTACTGAGCGAGCTGTGCAGAGAAGTACGGGAAACAAGGATAATCACACTCTGGAACATATCATCGAAGTCGCGAATAAGAGCCCCGAAGTCTGTGTCGTGATTGATGGACAAGGGCACATGTCGGCCTGGGCCCTGGAAGATGTTGGGTCCAAGGTCAAATCTGAAATGCACATGTTCAATATTCTACACGTGGAAGGCCTGGACTTCGCGTTCATGCCCGGTGTCTCTCCGGAAGAAGACTATGCGCAGCTGCATGCATTCCAGGGTGCAGAACCAGGCGACTCCATCAGCATTCTAGTGCATCACTTCGACGGCCGGATTGAGTGGTTCGATTCCCCGGTAGATGTGCTTTTTGATCCTGCTCCGCGCAAAAACCGGGTGTCTATGAAGGCGTCATGGACCGGCCACAATGGCCCCATAAAGAAGATCGTTCGTAATGCCATTGGCCACACGCTTGCCTCGCGTACGGATGATAACAAGGCGTTGATCTGGAGGCAAAAGCAGCGAGAGAGTGGTACGGCGCTTCTTCGACAGAGCGAGCTGTTCTCTGACGAACATATACATCGCAGTTGCGTGCTAGAAGACGGCGAATTCCTGGTCAACCTCCATCACAACGGAATCTCCTTCTGGGATATCCGTCCATTTCATGCCAAGAAGCTGGCGGCCACAACGTTTAAATTATCAAGCAAGCCACTGTGTGTCTTGCCTATCCCTACAGCAGAGCAGAATGGGGTTGTCTACGTAGCAACCATTGGCGCGAGCATGGACGGAATTGCCTGGGAGTTTCAACTGCCGACCTCTAAGCAGACCAACGGAACAGCGGATGGGACTCAATGTCAGCTGCGGAAGTTCTGTACATTCCATCTGGGGTTGGATGAGGACATGGCTTACATCTTGCCTGTCGACCCAGCCGGCCGCAAAGCCGAGATGCCCGGCTTCTTTGACCTCTTCTCACCGGATATAGCACTTTCATATACCAAGACTGGCATTGTCCGCACCTGGACGGCCAAGATTGACAAAGAGAAGAGCCGCGTCGATTGGCTCTTGACTTCGACCGTAGAGACAGGTATCAAGAACCCGTCGCTTGCGAGCGGGAGCTCCATCAAGAAAGCAGCGCTTGTGGATGAAGACCGCACGCATCTGACGATCTGGGATATGAATGATGCACAGCTGGAGTATGAAGAACATTTCTCACAAGGCGACATCATCCGAGACTTAGATTGGACGTCAACGCCAGACATGCAGTCTATCCTAGCGGTTGGTTTTCCTCATAAAGTCATTCTTTTATCCCAGCTCCGATATGACTACCTTGACTCGCGCCCGTCGTGGACACAGATCCGCGAAATCTGGATCCGCGACCTTACTCCTCATCCTATCGGGGATTCTTGCTGGCTCAGCAATGGCTGCCTCGCCATTGGAGCTGGAAATCAACTCTTCGTGTATGGGAACGAAATTGAAAGTTCCGATCATCTGATATCTCAGTTACGTATACCAGCTCGCGGATCTTCTACCGTCGATCTCTTCGAGGTTGTGAGCCGGCTGAATGGACCGCTGCCCGTGTTTCACCCGCAATTCCTGGCGCAGTGCATTCTGAGCGGCAAAAACAACCTGGTACATGCGGTCTTGCTCAAACTTCATCGCATACTCAAGTTCTACACGGAAGGTGATGACATTGACGGCTTCCTGGACATGCCCTTGGAAAGCTTTTATATTGAACATGATGTAAGCACCTATATGATAGCCACACAATTCCGCAGCTAACCTGTTAGACCCCCCAACGAGCCACCTCCAAAGGCATAGATTCCTCATATGCCGATCTCAACATGGATGAAGAGTCGACCGTAGTGGATGAGGATACGGCCCTGGTGCTCAACGAGAACCTGGCGCGATTTACCCTGCCCCAGCTTTCCAGCCAAGAGCAATTCCGCTTGGTGGACACGATTGAGTGTGTTGCAACTGTGGAGAAGCATCGCCGCTCAATGGATGACAATGCTGCGCGATATCTCCTCTTCTTCCGTCAGCATATGCTGCGCAGGTCCCAAGGAGTGGCAAACAAAGACACAGTATCCTGGCGAGAAATTGTCTGGGCATTCCATAGCGGCAGTCAGGACATCTTAGTAGACCTTGCATCAAGACAATTTGGTGGAAAGATGACGTGGAAAGCGGCCAGAGAGAGTGGGATGTTCATGTGGCTGTCGAATCCTACTGCTGTGGTAAGATTCACCTCTGGGTAGTGATCGGATTGTGCTAACAGTGTCAGCGGGCGCAACTGGAAGTCGTTGCTCGGAACGAGTATACTAAATCAGAAGAGAAGAACCCCATCGACTGTTCGTTGTACTATATCGCTCTGAGGAAGAAAAACGTCCTTCAGGGTCTCTGGCGGATGGCGCATTGGCATCGTGAACAAGGCGCAACACAACGACTGCTTGCCAATAACTTTCAGGAAGAGCGGTGGAAAACGTCGGCATTGAAGAACGCATATGCTCTGCTTGGAAAGCGAAGATTTGGTGCGTATTATAGAACTGACTCTGGAACCCAACTAACGCGGTATAGAATATGCTGCCACCTTCTTCCTTCTTGCGGACCATTTGCGCGACGCCGCTTTTGTGTGTCTCAACCAGGTCGGCGACCTACAGCTTGCCATCGCCATCACGCGTGCCTATGAGGGGGATGACGGTCCAGTGTTGAAAGAGATCCTGGAAGAAAGAGTGCTGCCTGAGGCTGCCACTGATGGAAACCGGTGGATGGCATCGTGGGCTTTCTGGATGCTGGGTCGTCGTGGAATGGCAGTCCGATCGCTGATTGTGAGTATCTCCGTGACTGTAAATTGAAGGATCCTAATGTTATTTCTAGTCCCCGGTAGAGTCACTTATCCCCGAGACGCCAGCGTCTCCAGGCAGCCCAGGGATGATACCCTTGCAAGCCAAGTCGTATCTTTCCAACGACCCTGCATTGGTTGTTCTGTACAAGCAACTCCGTGAGAAGACACTACAGACGCTGAAAGGAGCATCTAAAGTATCCGCGCAGTCCGAGTGGAGTTTCGTCATCCGCAATGCTCGTCTGTACGACCGCATGGGATGCGATCTCCTGGCTCTAGATCTAGTACGCCACTGGGAGTTCCTGGGAGGACCTCCTTCACCACAACCAGCCAAGGAGGGGCCACTCGATCTGCATGATGGGGTAGACTATCGCAAGATGCTGCGCCGACGTAGCAGTCTGGTCGTTGCGGACCTGCCGATCCGCGAGAGCTTGCAACAGAGTATTCAAGCTGCGGCAGCACCGAAACCGAAACCGAAGCCACCTCCAACGACATTCCAAGAGCCAGACGCCAACTCGTTGCTTGACAGCTTCGGTTTCTAGTCTGACTGTAGCTAGTTTTGAACGATTTATTGTATCATTAT